CTGAAAGTCATCTTTGTTTCCTATCAGTTTCTATTAACTATGCATTCTTTCAAATCAAGCAATTGCTGGGAATATCAAAGTGCTTGTAGTGAGACTCTGCATTAAAACATTTTCAAAAAGAAACTATAATTAGCAGAACTTATTTTTTTATTCTAATCTTGTAAGAAAGTCCAGAATTACATTAGAAATTCCTCGCACATCAATAACCAGTTATAAAATCTTAACTGTATCATCTGTGAATATTTGCCCTGTATTAAGGGATTGGCTCAGAGAAAAATTAAAGGTTTACCAAGTACTAATGGCAGGCTATATTTGCCATATAGCTTAAGTCCTGGGAGACAGACTGTACAATGACGTAGTCCAGAGAGAAAGCTCCCTGGCATGTAGCGGTCTTGAGAGAGAATAGTTGGCTTCTCTAGGGAACTCTGTGTATAACCTGATTGCTCTCAAATAAAAATAGACACCCTCTCAATTAAAGAGCCATGTAGGCATAACGTGTGGCTAGCTTTTTACCAATAGCAGAAATGGTCAAGCAGATGAAACCAATTGTATATGTAGCTTGGAGGCTTTTGAATCGCAGTGGCTATCCATATGCTCTGTGACTCCATTTTTGTAAAGGAGAGGGTTATGCTGCCTTTTCCGTGGTGAGTAAAGGCCATATTTTGAGTTCCTGTATTGTTGGAAAAGATGCATTGCACGTGTCCAGGAGGTCTGACAGAAGTGTGAGCACTGAATTTGCAGGGAGAAGGCCAAAAGCTAGAAATAAGTAGATAATTGCTGGTAAATGCTCCTGGCCAGAGTCTGAGGAATTCTTGGATGAAAATGTAGCATAGCTGTGGGTTGTGCCATCACAGAGAAAAAATGTATTTCATTTTTCCCAGAGCTCCTCAGTTTGGTCTAGGACTGCGGGTTAGGGCTCATTAAATAGTTCTGGTTGTAGGTACCACACTACCTGTCCCTCCCCAGAAATGTAAGTAACCTGATGTGCAACCGTTGCAACATCATGCACCTGGAAGTGGCCTACTGCCAAAACTTCCCAGAAACACTGGGAAAGAGGCAGCACCACAAGGAGCAGGCTGTGGGCCAGAGTAATTACTGGGCAGCTCATTGCAGGTGTCATTGATCCACAATCACTGTGAATCTTAAACGCATCTGAAGTGAATGCTGATGGTTGAAGTAGACTGATGTTACAGCATCTGTTTCTCCTTTCAAGAATATGTTGTTTAAATAAAATCCTGTCTGGTAGAACTCATAAAAATGATTACTCAAACACAGATGCAGCTGGAAGCAGAAATCTGCTATGCTGGTGGAAAGGGTGCTGAAAGGACTACTCAGAATCTGAAGAAGAGCCTGAGAATTACCTGTGGAAGGGAATTTTCCATTTCACATTTACCAATGTAAATAGGACAATGCAAGGTGTAGGCGCTGTAAATAGCTGTAAGTGATAGCAAAGGAAAAACGGAACTGAGAGGCATGTTTGTTACAGAGCTAGGAAGAAGCAAAGCAAAAAGAAATGTTGGAGCACATGAAATGAGACTGTCCCAAGTAGAAGAGGAAGTACTGGATTTGGCAAGGGACTTGCAGCCCTGCAGGGAATAGGGATATCGTAGTAGCAACAGGGTTGCCCTCTGTGGTGGGACTAATGGTACACTAGATTCTTGCTAAAAAATGTGTCCTGAGGAATATATGGAAGCAGAGGGTCTGGGCAGTTCACTGGAATTTTACTCCCAGGAAAGGACCTCAAAAGGTATGACAAAACAGTGAAGATCAGTATGTGTATTAAACTGTTGCTATAAGGAGTCCATTGGGATATTTTCCCTTTGGAGGTATTCATGGGGTCTTGGTGAACTATGTCCTGGCAGTAGGGTTAGCACAAAGAGCTTTAACTGAAACAGAGAGAAAAGGGGAAGTAATTTGTGCAGCCTTTACTTCTGGAGGAACAGATCTGGGGAGTGATAATACAGTACTGGATAGATGGGTGTGAGAAAGCAGAAGGGTGGACATGAAGTACTAGGTATCAATGACACCAGCTATCAGGTAGTACAGTTAACGAGTAAACTGCACATCTTAAGAAGCTTTTTTTCTTCTGACTTAACTTAGATTTTTTAAAACTGACGGAAGAAACCTAGACAACAAAATGGAGGACCTAAAGCACTGGTGTGGAGCCTGGAGACGAGGTGTTCTGATAGGAACGCAGCAGAATAGCCATAGTCAGAGAAACACAGACTGAAGGATGTTAACTATTCCTTAAACTTAGAATTTCTTTACTGGTGAAAGAACTAAATCAAAAGTACAAAGAGGCTTCAAAAAAGTAAGTTGTGAATGTGTAATGTGACCATGGCATAATTTTGTCTTCAGAGCATTCAGAAAGAGTTTTTCATTTTCCAAAGTTGTCATTTATTTTCTACTGTTAAAGATGTCCTAAAGATAGTAAAGCACCTAAAAACTGTCTGCTCCAGAAACTAAATCTGAGCAAAAGAGGCTGCAGATGTTTAGAAAATAATAGGACCAACTTAATCTGGCTATTTCTTACCATAGACCATAATAGTATATTCAGGTACCTGCAAGTAAATACAGAATTATTGTCTTACAAGTGTTTGTTGTCAACCAAACAAAATTGGCTGGGCCCTATAGAAACGCCCCCACAAAAATCGGAAGTTTCTCCCATTATGCTGTAATTTTCCTCATCTCTTAGATCTCCTGATTGGTTCTGTATCTTCTTCCACCAGTGCTTAAGGCTTTTCTGCCTTGGTCCCTAAACCTCTGTGCAATTCCAAGCTTACGTTCTGAGCCGATTCCTTCCTACACACGGCTGCACGCCCTCCCTTTGCCCAAGGCTCTCACACCTTACAATGCATTTCTTTTATCCTTTCCTGTTTCTTAATTTCTGCAATGCCATACAGCTTTCCAATCAACTGTCTGCCAAGGGCTTCCCTTCTTGCCACCCCCGGTTTGTTTTATAAGAGAGTTAACTGCGCAGCCAATTAAGTCATGATATCAAAGACCATATTCCTTCTTTTCTGCGTGCCTAAAACCATGTGACATGTCTCAGGCACTGCATATAAAACACAAGCCACAAGCTAAAACACGGGTATCCTTGAAGGCTTTTAGTGTTTATTTGTGGTGCTTCCAATAACTGTTGCTAACATACACACTCATACATTCATTTGCTCACACTAAAATTACACCTTTTTATTGTAAGCTATTTGGAGTATGCATCTTTTTCTGCTGCTGGCTTGTACGTGATACCACAACAAATACACCATTTATGTATAGAAGTGAATAAATAATAGGCAATGTGCTTGGCCTGGTGGATCTCATACCCTGTATTATTTCTCATTAGACTGTCTCTCCAGTTGCCCGTTTCCTGCATTCCTAAGCAGGCAAGATGGAGAAAACTCCTTCTTCCTAAAAAACGTGCCTGCCTTGCATCTCCCATTGCCATAAAACCTGCCTAAGATCTCCCAAAGACACAGAATAATTAAAAATCACAATATTTACGAAGTGAAAACCGGTGCCACGGGTTTGCTCTTAGCGTTGCTTAAGAGAGGCGATTTTATTTCAGGTTTTCCTGTGTGGAACTTCCCTTTTTTGGAATTATGACCGAAAGTCAATGCCTCTGCTTTATGAAAAATAAAAAGGAGGCCAGGCCCTG